ACTAACGTTTCCTTGTCTATTACTGTTGATATTAACATAATCCCTCGCGATTTACACCATCAACGTGCTCGTCTATTCGCCTGAATTACGGAACTACATCGATCTCCTTCTGTCTCGAAGGCGTTGAGATAGTCGCTCGCAAACGGGATGCTAATGTCGCTCTCCACAATGTCAGCGGCCAAGGATTCGAGTTGGCGGACAGGTAAATGGCCCGAGCATTGAACCGACGAATGACCTCCGACAACAACGGCCCTCATTTTCGATGTCGAAATCATCTCGCGCCGGTATAACTACAATGGTGTGGCGACTTTTTACAATTCGTGAGCCAATACTTTTTTTTATTTCCGATCTGGAAAAATTTAAAGCAGCACGTTAGTCGATTCAACTATATGTATATCGTGACATCAAATGCGGGGAAATTTTTTTATGATGCTTTTAAAATATTATATGAAGAGCGATTGATAATAAAAATAAAACTTTAGAAATAGATTTGTTCGTGCGTCATAGCTTTGACAAGATTTTGCATTTTATGGAAATAATGATAATAACATGTAATAGTTTGTTTTACATTTTTCTATAATTTAGATAGGTAATAAAAGTATGAGATTTTTTTATATTTTAACTTTTTTTTAAAATCTTTTTCTCATAACATGATTTTATAAGAACGTAATATGATATTGTTTTTTAATGTATAATTTTAATTGGTCTTATATCAAATAACATAAATTTCGTTTTTTCTTATTTGCTGTTTTTCATTTTTAATTATTTTCATGGTATTGTTATCGTGATTGCCAATTTATAGCAGTCATGTTATTTGTTTTATGTGGCATATAGTCCCTTATAATCGAAATTTACAAAACACGTGACACAAACTTCGAAAAGCGATGCGTATTTTTAATTTGGATGACAGAATATTAATGAGATCCGATAATTAACCTGTACGATATATACGGCATAAATAAATAATTAATGAAAATCGATCGTATAGTCGAGATATATCCGTTGTATTGATTTGCGGCAAATTTTTGTATAATAATTCGATAATGTTATTAAAGAGCGACATAAAGCATTCTAACACTGTCATCGATTCTGGGATATTGCTCTTATGACAAGGAAATTTAAGAAAACATGACAGAGATTAATAAACTAGAAAAATATTTTTTTTGTTTCTGTCAATCTTGGCGAAATCAAAAATATCTTTGTAAAATTAAACATGTTATAGTGAATATTACAACTTAAAGTGAATATTAGAATGAAATTTTTCAAGACAATTTTTTTATTTTAACGTACTAAAAAAGATTCTGACATATGAAAAATATTTCCAATGGCATGGAATAAATTTAAAATATAGTATGAATTTTTAGATTTATGTGAATACGCAAAGATGGAAAGAAACAGTGAAAGGGGAATCATATATTAAATTAATATTATTTGCTCCACAAACCCATCAAGCTTCTTGGAAACCGAATGGACTTGATTTGGGTACATTCCTCGTTGCGAAAACGAAACGATTTTTATTTTTATCGTGGAAGTCGAAGGCGCACGGTACAAGGCCACACGAGCTAGTCATTGACCCCGGGAGATCGAATACTCAACAATCATTCTTCGGCGTGATTCCGACGTCAAATAGCTTTCAGAACGATAGACGAGGGATACGGGAAATGGACTAAAAAAAGGGGGGCAATGAAGAAGGGACAGACAAAGTCGAGACCCTCGGCAGTATAAACTGGCCTGCCGAGGATGTAACGTTATGTCTATTAGATTCCAGAGAGGGCCGAGAGACGAGCATCATGACCGATGTTCACATAGACACGGACAAGCAAGGTTGGGAGTCGAGCATTCAAAGCTCTTTCATCCTCTCGAAGGTGGCTCACGGAAGAATTTTTCTATAAAATGAAAAAAAATATAAAAAGAACATAAACAACCTTAATTAAATATCCTCCTATATTTACAAAACTTTTTGATATGTCAATTAATATCTAGATAGAAATATAGAATTTTGCATGGATTCTATATTATTTAAATACATATATTTATTATACTTAAATACAATACAAAGTACAAGACAAAATATATACGTATTAAAAAGCATATTTTGATATGTATTATTTAAACGATAAATATTGTAAATGAATCTTTTTGCCCAATGAAGTAAATAAAGCACAAAACCTTTTACGGACATTTTTTAATTTATTTTTAAATTTTTTAAATTATTTTTTAATTTTTTTAATTTTAATTTTTTTTTAATTATTTGTGCAAAATAGTAGTATGCAGTTCGCAGCAACCACCCCTTTGCTTCGTCTACTCGATAATAATTATAATTACGGATGAATGCCAATTAATCTCGCGCTTGCGTGGACGAGTCCCATGAGCAATTTTCAGGGACAGTGTCGAGCGGAGCGCGTGCGAGACAGAGTCAAGGCGAATGACGTTTGTGGGAGACGAGGAGTGGAGATGGACGAGCGGGGAGGCAGCAAGCCTCTCCGGAGAGAGAGGCACAGCTCTCGCTCTTCCTCTATACGGGACGCGGTCGAAGACACGAGACACCACCTCGGTCGCTCGTTACATAAGTAAGGTAAAGGATCTCCTCTTCTCTGCTCTCCTTGAGCCGATCCACATTCGCGATTATACCACTTTCCATCGACCTCTCTTTACCCCGAGCACGACGCTCGCTCGCTCGCACGTGTAGATGCGTGCGATTCTCTGCGTGCGTGCATGGTGTGCGTATAATGTGTGTAATTAACAGCACAACAAATATCGCACGAATCGTGGAATGTTTTAATATAGTCGTGCATTTGGTAAATTATGATAATTACGAGTAATTCTGCATCGAAGCGGTTTGCTAATGGAATTAAAATGCGACCAAGTTTATGTTTGAAAAAAAATATTTTTATCGAAATGATAATTTTTTTTATTACGCATATAGAGAATTATCATCTCGCACATGTTATTTTCAATATCACTTTTGTACAAATATTAATATTGATTTGTTATTTTCATATTTAAAATCGAGAAAAGAAATGTTTTATAAAAAGTTTTTTTCTAAATAATGCACCTGAGATATAAAGGCATAGATACTAAAACTGTTCGTCTCTTGCATTTTATTTCCTCAAATAAAACTTTATTTTATAACTAGGAGAATTTCAATCTCTAGAAATATATATTATTATCTTTCTTTATCGATTGTTTCCGCAAAAAAATAAAGATAAACCTACGAAAGTTTTATTAAAATTTTTCTGATCTTTTGAAAATTTTTCTTGAAGCAAAGGGAGAATTGCCTATTTTTTATAGGAATCTTGAAATATCTAGCACTTAGAGATCCTATGTAAACAAATAATTGCAAAATGGATTTTGCTATATTGATGTTAAAACTGATGAAATAAACTGCAATTTGGAGGTCGTCACCCAATGGATAGCTTGCTGTCACGCAGGAGACGTGAGGCCGAGCGTGCATTGACCTATTGTGTGACCTCCGACAACACGACCTTAATGTCAATGATGAACTCGACGCGGATTTATGTATAGTGGCCCTTTACATATCCAGTTATGCATGCCGAAATAAAGTCGCATTTTTATTGTGCGTACCGTTATGTTTAAAAACTAGTCTTAATTTTCAAATTGTTAAAATTGAGTAAAATATAAGAGACGAAAAATAATAGAATTGAAAATATTATAGAAATATTAATGTGATGGGAATATAATCGTGTTTTATTTTATATTATTTTCATATAATTTGTTCTCTTAATTTTTTCATATTTGTTAATATATTTAGATTAATTAAAGATTAAAGATAATTTCATTTAATTTAACTTATTGTTAGTAGAAATTTAATTAATTTCTCTTTTATTGTCTCTCTCATTGAACTTTATCGAATTCTTAGCACTCTATTCATTTTTTAAATTTAAACTCGAAATTAATATTTCATGATAAGAAAGTAAAATAAAAACTTGTAAATTATATACTTTGCTTAAAAACATGCGAGATAAAAAAATTTGTATTAATTAATTGTAAAAATTATAATGTTCCTCTTTTCATTTACAAATATTTTTTTCATTATATGCTACAAGGAAATACTACGGACATCTAAAGCTAAAAGGTAGAACTAAATTTTACCTGTGGATAAATCATCAGCCGAAGGTAGATTTTATACAAATTTCTGCTGCAACATAACAACAGTACATATCATATAACAGATGTTTAATTATATATATTTTTTAATTAATTAGTTAAAATAATTTTACACATAATGTGAATTTATATAAACAAATTATTTATGCAAAGCAATACATGTACTTGATCGCATTATAATTTTAAAAATATAAATCATAACATTCTGTAAATGAATGAAAATATAAATATAATTATTTATAAATATAATTATTGTCATTTACTAATTTATCCATCGTTTTTGTATATGACATAATTAAATTGGAAAATCAGTTATATACATACACAAATTGGGTGTTCTTTATTAAGCTTGTTTACTTTTATATGCGAATAAAAGAAAGATCGCCTATTTTTATTGCGTTCTCTTTAATTTTTCAAATTAACGTAAAAATTTTCGTGTAAATTAATTTAATATATAAATTTATGATTGAGATATATCATGAATTAAAAATGGATAAAATGTGTCGATTTTGAAATAAAATTTTTCATTATTGTCATATTCATAATATTGAAAAAAATTTTTGATATCTTGAATTAGAGAATATGAAGGGAGCCCACAAAAGCATGTAAATAATTACATTTATTTATTTATCAATTTTACAATGTAACAGTGTGTATATAGGATACGCTGAATATAGAATAATCTTCTTATCATTTATTAATTAAGGCGATTAGTGTGTAAGTGACTCCGTCGGAACATACATGTATATTATAGCACGTGTATGACTTATATTGGTCGTGATTAAAAATTCGAACGTTTGCGCAAATTTCTCGTCTTGTAGTTCCGCGTTCGTAGACTTGATTCACGTGCAGCGTTACACTTACTTTCATTCGCGTTGTATAACAATAGATTTGATATTAAGTATCCTGTAATGAAGTAAATTATTGTGAGACGTTAGTTTCTTTTTTTTTTTTTTACTTCTATGGTACTCGATGCGGATAAGGCCACAATTAGTGTTTCCGCGAGTGTGTTCGTCGCACACTCGTACGCATGTATGTATGCATGTGTATTGTACGTGTGTGTATGTGTGCTGTGTGTTTTTTTTGCGGTTTTCTTTTTCAAGAAAATAATATATGTTATAAATATATGTGTTATTAATATATGTTGTGAAAAATTTCGAATTTGCGTATGATATGTATGTTGCATGTGTGTATGTATGTATGTCTGCATGTATGTATATATGTATGTATTTATGTATATGTATGTGTGTGTGCGCGCGCGCGCGCATGTGATTTATACGAGATGATAATAAATCTCCACGACGGTATGCGCCTGTTTTTTTCGATGAAGAAGGGGGAAACAAAAAAGAGAAGAGAGCCAGAACATTGTTGAGCGATGACACGAAATGTATTCCTTATGGTAGCTAATCGTGATTAACAGCATGGATTTATACAGTTGTGAATGTAAAATTAATAAATTTCTTGATAAAAAGATTCGAATCGATTTTTATAACGTCAAATAATTTTTTTATTGAAATTTCGAAATATTAAGATTTCTTTCGAAATGTTACTTAATACAGGGAAAATTAGTCATTTTTTTAGAAACTTATTTCGATGAGTTTTGTTCATAAATTAATAATGAGATTTACCATAGTATTTGGATGTTATTTTTCTCGTATTTTGATAGATGCATAGTTTTGTACAGAAGAGGAAAAGAGAGAGAAAGAAAATGATATCAATTGGATAGATTTAGGTGAATGTGTAGCGCGTATGTATGTATGTATGTGTTAAACCATCGTGTTTTTCGCGCGTGTGTAAATTATACACACATACATACATACATATACACACATATGCTAAGATTCCTTTTTTGCGCGCACATGCGCATATCTCTCTACAATTGTACAAAGCAAAAATGATATTAGTAACATCACGAGAGCACGTGTGCGATTAGGCTTATTTATCATCCTAATCGTTTATATCGATAATCATTTTATTACAGTAAGGCGATTTGATTTCTCTTTATCGAGCTCGTTGAGTGTGCATTTCTCTTTCTTTCCGATTCTTATTTCTTTCACTCTTCGATATTTCAACGGGATGATGAAGCAAATCATCTCAAATATAGAAAGACACACTTATCAGTGTTCTTTTCACAAACACACGTAGAACGAAATAACGAAGACTAATGTCGCTATAATAACTACGAAGCTAGAAACGATTCTCGTGTTCTCTCGCGCCGTCTTTCTTTCGATCAATCTGTAAAATCACTATGCTGACCAAGACGAGGACTTGGACAGAGGATTTCCCGACCTTTATCTTTCTCTGAAAAAAAATCGGCGCGAAAAATTTTCGTCAAAGTATGTCGGTTTGCAATAAAAATTATCGCGGCTCTGTAATGCAGGTTTTTCTTTATTATTCGTCAATTTTTATCATGTTTTCCCGCAATCTCGTTTCTTGATATGACTTTGTAAAATTCTTTAGCGTGTTGCTTTCGTTTCCGAATCCGAATTGTCAACTAATAAAATCGCGACGACGGTCTCATTATGGCTTCTATTATGACAGAATCCGCTTGACTGTATGGATTCTGCATTCCGGAAGTCCCGCTCCCCGTTCCTCCTCACCCCTCGCTTTTTCTCTGTCATCCTCGTCGTCGTAAAGCCGCGTCTTACATCAATTTCATTTTGGCGCATTCAGGACAGATAATGTCGTCACCATCGGTAATAAAACCACGTCCGACCAACGACGTTTTGCAGCCCGCGCAGATGAAACAATCATTATGCCAGTGCCTATCCTCGAATGAGATGAAGCGAGTGCCGCCGATACCTGGATCAATCATCGAGTGATGCTTAGATTAGATTAGAATCGAGGTTTCAACATTGCATAACGAATGAAATATGAAAGGATCTCTAAGAATAAATATTGCATACGATATTGTAATCGATTAAGAAATGATTGATAAATCAAACACTCAGAGATGTTTGAAATTTTTTTTGATAATCATATAAAAAAATTGTATATTTTTTTTTTTTATTAAAGTTAGAAATTGAAATAAATCGTACCAGTAATCGGTTTGGAGCAAGCGGTGCATCTCTTGGCGAAGAGCTCGCCGAAGCACTCGGCGCAATACGGCTTGTCATCGCGCGATGTGAATCGCTGTCCCGCCAGGGAGTTGTTGCAGTTGCTGCAAGTGAAGCAATCTCTGTGCCACGGCTCGTTCTTATATGTCACGCCGCCGCTATTGATAATCTGCGATGAGATGATATTTTTTTTTTAAAGATCTTTCGACGGGATACGGGATCGCTTCGTATCCGTGCATCATAATTTATTGCAACATTTCTCCTCTTAAATATTTTATGCGGCTTATATCGTTTCGAGAATCGAGTCCTCGGCACAAATAAAGTAGCTTCAAAAATTAGTACAGCAAAAATTAAAATAACTGACAATCACAAAAAAGACAGTGTCTGGCGCACAAAAAATAGATTAATATATTTTACGAAAGAAAAGGCTTAAAAATAAAAAATCTATCATAGTAATTTTTATATATAATATTTATATTGTCTGAATCAATATTTAACGCGATCGACACAACTACAAAGTATCTACATTTATTTAAAGCAATTAGATCTCGTCAATTTATATCAGATTGAAATTTATCATCTTACAACGAGATCTCACTTTTAATTTATCAGTCCGTTCGCTTTTTGCGCGATATTTAATAAACGAATGCGAGACGAGAATGCAAAGTAATCGCCGATACAGTGAAAGGAGTAACCCACCTTATTGCACTTAACACACCGGGTGGCGAATTTGTCCTCGTAACATCCGGCACAATAAATCTCCTGTTCGCGCGGGATGAAGCTCTTTGTGCCGATCGGATTCTTACAGACCACGCAGCAGAAACACTTCTCGTGCCATTGTCTGGTCTTGTATTCCATTTTCTTAGTGCCTGAAACATGTAAGCAATAAAGATATTACATAAATATTTTACTTAACATAATGTATTTTTTTGAAAATTAAATAAAATTTAAATTTAATTTAATCGAATTTGCGCTTATGAGGAGAAGAAAAACGTCTATGCTATTTTATCTGTGTATTATTTTATTTATATTTATAATATAAAGATCGTCATTAATTTTTCTTTTAGCTTCTTTTACATTCATCTTATTATTATAAAAATTATTGAAGTGTTGAACTTGGCATTTCTTAATACGATGCTTGCTGATTGCATGTCGGAAAGAACCACCATAAAAAATTCAAATTAGAAACTCTGTAAATAAGTGCAGCAGAGGTCGTAGCATTTCCACGTTTTTAGCGTCTAGACAGATGGTTGCATGCGGCGACTGGCGGACTGCCAGTTCGCAATCGCGTGTGTCCTATTACGTTCCCGTATTGAGGGCTGTTTTTTTTCACAATCCACAATTAGCACATGCACAGGTGCGGACAGTCGCATGGGAACAGGAACAATCGGACCGAAATTAATGGCGCTTTCGCGGTTCGAATAGCATGATTGCCTCCTACTGATCAGCAATTGGAGAACTTAAATTATCCACATATATATTTTATCCAAAAAAGAAGATGTAAATATAGGAATTTTAAAATTTTTATGAAAAAAAATATAGAGAGAGATTTGTTAATGTATTAATTTCAATGTTATATATTTTAGACATACTTTTCATACCTAAATATTTCATTAAAAGGACCTCATTGTTTTAAATATATATATATGATAAGAAAGATCTTTAAATGATAAAATTATCTTATTGTTTATCGTTACTGAAACTTTACCTAGAATATCACAAGTGGGATTACATGGTATTTAACACAATATCTCAGTATTATTCTTTTTATTAATAACTTTGGTTGTTATTTAAGGGATTAAAAGGATGTTTCTGATAATTCAATGATATGATTCCAGTATTAAAAAATAAATTCTAATGAGTCATACGCGCAAAAAAACCGTCTCCAGACACATACAACGTGTATGTGTAAAATTGAAACTAATCACGCGGTGATCTTCTTAAAATTGTTTTCCTTGCTGTCAAATTATCATAATCTAGAGCTAGAAATGAAACGGTTACTTCGTGTTCTCTTTAAGATTAGGAGCATTATGCGAAGAACGTGACTCGAGCTGATGAGTATTGTCAGCTTGTTATCGTTGTCACGTTCTACTCTGTGATTTAAGAAATGGGCAGATAATATCCAAGATCATTGACTAGGAAACGCAAACGTATTGTTTGCCGCTAATGTCATATAAATTGCATACTTCGAAACTGAAATTTTTGCTAGCTAGATTATAATATAAACATGTAGATGCTATTTATAACATATGAAATAACTATGGAGAATTTGTGTCCATCTAATTTTTTATAAGTATTTGCATTTTAATTAAATGTCGTAGATAGTGATAAAATTCGATTTACACACCAATCAATCAATGAATAAAATTTATTCGTGTGGACTTTGATTGAGGCACAATAATGGTGGGTGATTGTCTTGTTTCTTTTTCGCATTTCTCTCGCTAAGTAGTAGAGACAAAAAGACGAATTAATAACTCTATTTCGAAAGGTGAGCTAAGCCCCGGGCAAACAACACACTTAAATATGACATTAAATATGATATAACGTGTCTCATGAATCATCAACTAAATTCAAAATATTTACGACATAGGATCACGTCTGTAAAGAATGATAGTCTCGATGATGATTCAAGAGCTTCTTTCATTAAAAAATACTTGACAGAATTTCTCCTTCCTTTCTTTTAAAAATAGATGGAAATATAACGCGTCATATCAAGCCATAAAGTTTGTCGCAAAAAATTAAGCTCTTATTAAATTAAGCTCTCGAAATATCCGAAGAATACTTAAGGATGTTTTGTATGTACAATCCCAGCAAAAAGTAGCTGAAAATCAATATTGACGAATACATCCACTTTTGGTGTATTTTGAGTATGAGAAATTGTGTGGAATATTTTTTTATTACAATTTAATTTTAGCTACAGTGCAGAGGTGTATTTTTGCGTATATTTATTGCGTTTTTACTGAAATATTCCGAATTTTGTTAATCGAAATGATTAACTTTTGGCAGAAAATTTCGCCTTGTGACAGATACATAGCCAATTTTATTGAATTATATTTAATATCTTTCTAACCAGTTAATACTTGTATAATATTATTTGACCAAATATTTCCTCTGTATCTTAAACTTTTGCAAATTTTAAACAAATTCTGAATATAATTTCCATGTGTTTTTGTCATTTGAATCGACGTGGTTATACGTTTACCATAAGAAACATGTTAATTCGGTGCAAATTAAAATCTTTATAACTTATGAACGCTTTAGTGAATCGATTTAAAAATTGTACTGAAGATTCTAAACATATGTAAGGACATTCTATACAATTTTCATTAAATTTTCAATATTTTGAAAATAAGTACAAAACATCCTTAATCGAAATGATTAACTTTTGGCAGAGAATTTCGCCTTGTGACAGATACATAGCTAATTTCATTGAATTATATTTAATATCTTTTTAACCAGTTAGTACTTGTATAATATTATTTGATCAAATATTTCCTCTGTATCTAAACTTTTGCAAATTTTAAACAAATTCTGAATATTATTTCCATGTGTTTTTGTCATTTGAATCGACGTGGTTATATGTTTCCCATAAGAAACATGTTAATTTGGTGCAAATTAAAATCCTTATAACTTGTGAACGCTTTAGTGAATCGATTTAAAAATTGTACTGAAGATTCTAAACATATGTAAGGATATTCTGTACAATTTTCATTAAATTCTCAATATTTTGAAAATAGGTACAAAACATGCTTAATCGAAATGATTAACATTTAGCAAAGAATTTCGCCTTGTGACAGATACATGGCTAATTTCATTGAATTATATTTAATATCTTTTTAACCAGTTAGTACTTGTATAATATTATTTAATCAAATATTTCTTCTGTATCTAAACTTTCGCAAATTTTAAACAAATTCTAAATATTATTTCCACGTGTTTTTGTCATTTGAATCGACATGGTTATACGTTTCCCATAAGAAATATGTTAATTCGGTGCAAATTAAAATCCTTATAACTTGTGAACGCTTTAGTGAATCGATTTAAAAATTGTACTGAAGATTCTAAACATATGTAAGGATATTCTATACAATTTTCATTAAATTCTCAATATTTTGAAAATAGGTACAAAACATCCTTAGGAACCATCGAGAATTGCGTTTGTGCATTACATTATATATCGATGAATATATGAGTGTGATAATCATCCCCATTGCTATACATGTTGATTAATGAACAGTGCAAGTGTCTACTCGATACTTACTGGCTCATTATTCATTGTATGCGTGGATCGACTTGTTAAATTATTCATTCGTCATCGAACATTCCGACGAGTGGTTAAATCGAATTAGTTGCAAATACACCATTGACTATAAACAGCTATATAATTGTTGATCCATTATGCTGTTACATTGTTAAGTGGATAATTACATCCTGATCGTACATTTGACGCACTAACGTTATAATTACGTCGTAATGATTGATTATAATGTGCAAATCGATAGTATTAAAGCAAAGTCTAACTCGTTCAATTATAATAATTGGTATCACTGTTAGTAGCATTTCGATTTAAATTAAAGATTAGGCATAAAAAGTCGGCTGCACATGATATGATATCGTACGAGCATAATTAATTTTCTACTATGAAGGATTTCGTTAAGATTATTGTAATCAATTAAAATATTGTAAACAAAAGTAGAATGAAATTTATCACAATATTTATAATATCCAAACTCTTTCTATACCATTTTTATATATATATAATTTCTAATATTTTTCCTCCCTTTCAAATAAATAAATATTTTTATAAAATTTTTCATGTATCTGAAATTTTAATATTTGCAACTTTTATTTTAATATGGTGACACGAGGGACGTTAAAGATGGACCATTCCGATGTGTTTGCATATCTCTTGTGTATGATACGTTGCCTTGTGGACCACTATGACTCAAGCGAAGATTCGTGACGTCACGTCAAACAGGCAATACCACCGTATATGTATAAAGCTGATGATCCAAGGTGATGTAGTAATCTTACGCGCATAGCGTTCATCCGTGAGTTATTCGCGTTACAAACGATGCGCTTATATGTAAAATTGAATATTTGCATAAAATTACACATCTTCATCAACATAAAACATCATATGTAATTTACATTTAAACATTTTTTATATATAATCTTATCCACGTCCTTTAGGATATGTGGATTATTTTGAAAATAATAATATTTTATAGATTTCTCAATCAATTAAATAAGAAAACATTGAAAATTTATCACTGAACCTGTGGCTACAATAATGCAAGGTCTGTACTTTTTAGACACACAATATATAAATGTATATTTTTAAAGGGATATAAAATAATAATTTAATACAATAGTATTTGAAGTTAAAATAAAACGCGTGGGTATAAATTTGCATATCTTTATAGAAGAGAAATGCGAAAATTTAGTTAAATGATTCGTTTCGAGTTCGTCAATAAAATATGTATCTTTTCTTGGAGATGTTATGACATCTTTTGATTGCCACGGATACTCTCAAATGCTATTTGAGAATCATCTGATATTAAGATATTTATTTACGTCGTAATTTTTAATAATATAATGCCGCGATTTTTAATAATATAAGGTAATATCCTCCTCAAAATGCCAGATGTTTTCTTAACCGCGTATTTCTAGCAGTAATCCGTTTATGCTAATGCGTTTCTCCTATGGATGAATAACAAATGCAATGGAAACACTATCCGTTTCCGCGAACACCGTCATTAATTATCGTAATCTCTCTTTTTGATGCTCGCCAATCGTTAACGCGATCGTTCAAACGGATTTTATGATTATCACTCATCATAACATGCTCTCGTAAACCGACTATACC